CTGATGGTGTAAAAGGGTATCGCTTGTGGGATCTCACTGCCCACAAAGTGATCATTAGCAGAGATGTTATCTTTGTAGAAGATAAGCTACAAAGAAAAGAAGACGATGATAGCACTGAAAAGTCAAAGACTACACAGATACATGTGGAAAATGAGTTTGAACAAGGAGATTCTTCTGAAGCAGAACCAGCACAAGATGAACAAGAACCAGAGAATTCTGAAACTCCAACAACTCGTCAATCAGATCATGTGAGAAGACGTCCCAATTGGCACTCGGATTATGTTATAGAAGGTAATATTGCATACTGCCTTTTAACAGAGGACGGTGAGCCATCAATATACCAGGATGCAATAAACAGCTCAGATGCTTCACTATGGATAATGGTGATGCAAGAAGAAATCGAATCCCTTCATAAAAATAATACATGGGACCTTGTTCACTACCACAAGAAGGAAGCCAATTGGTAACAAATGGGTTTTCAAAATCAAGCGAAATGGTGACGATCAAGTTGAGAGGTATCGTGCAAGACTGGTGGTCAAAGGATATCTCAAAAAGAAGGTATTGATTTCAATGAAATATTTTCTCCTGTGGTTCGACTAACAACAGTTCGTGTAGTTTTGGCAATGTGTGCTACATTGAACTTACATCTAGAGCAGCTAGATGTTAAACAACTTTTCTTCATGGAAATCTTGAAGAAGAGATTTATATGCTCCAGCCTGAAGGTTTTGAAGAAGAAGAAAAGAAGAACTTGGTTTGCAGGTTGAACAAATCTCTGTACGGTTTAAAGCAGGCGCCGAGGTGTTGGTATAAGAGATTTGATTCATTCATTATATGCATTGGATACAACAGACTTAATGCAGACCCTTGTGCTTATTTCAAGAGGTCTGGTGATAACGATTTTGTTATATTGATGTTGTATGTGGATGACATGTTGGTTGCAGGACCCAACAAAGATCATATTGAAGAATTAAAGGCACAACTGGCTAGGGAATTTAAAATTAAGGACTTGGGATCAGCAAACAAGATTCTAGGGATACAAATTCACCGAGACAGAAGTAATAGGAAGATTTGGCTTTCACAAAAGAATTACTTGAAGAAGATCTTGTCACGACTCAACATACAAGATTGTAAGCCAATTTCTACCCCTCTTCCTATTAACTTCAAATTATCCTCCAGTATGAGTCCTAGCAGTGAACAAGAGAGGATGGAGATGTCTCGAGTACCGTATGCATCGGCAGTGGGAAGTTCAATGTTCGCTATAATATGCACAAGACCAGACATTGCACAAGCAGTGGAGTGTAGTCGGTACATGGCAATCCAGGCAAAGAGCATTGGAATACAGTAAAGGATCCTAAGATACATCAAAGGGACTCAAATATTGTATATGTTACAGAAGATCAAACTTACTTATCAATGGGTATGTTGATTCGGACTATACAGGGGATTTGGATAAAAGCAAATCTACTACAGGATATGTGTTCAAAGTTGCTGGTGGAGCTGTAAGCTGGGTTTCAAAATTGTAGTAAGTTGTGGCTACATCCACAACAGAGGCAGAATATGTAGAAGCTACACAAGCCAGTAAAGAAGCAATTTGGTTGAAGATGTTATTAGAGGAGCTTGGGCACAATCAAGAGCATGTTTCTCTTTTTTGTGACAGTCAAAGCGCCTTGCATCTAGCAAGGAATCCAACATTTCATTCAAGGACAAAACACATACGAGTTCAATACCACTTCATTCATGAAAAGGTGGAAGAAGGAACAGTGGATATGCAGAAGACCCATACCAAAGACAACATAGCAGATTTCATGACAAAGGCGATCAACGCTAATAAATTTACTTGGTGTCGATCCTCGTGTGGCCTGTCAGAGACGTAAGCAACATGATGGTACAAGGTAGAAAGAATGATGTGAAGATATGATTATCCAAATCAAATCTTCAAGTGGGAGATTGTTGAAAGTCAAATAGCACAAAATCAATTTTGGTGGCTTTGCACATGGCAAATTCGGTGGCTTTCGGTGGAATTAAATGGATGCAACATTTGTTGATTTTTTCAACAATGGTAAAACCTCATTTTAGCCATTTTTTTTAGATATTTACAAATTAGTCCTTAGAGCTTCAACTATAAATACCCTAGCTCATTTAGCTTCAAAACCATCCCAAAGCATTCTAGCTTTCTTCCAATACTAGAGAGAATTTAGAGAGTTTCTTGAGAGTTGTTTTCTCCTTTTTATCAAGAGAGAATTATCATTGTTTTCTCCTTGGTAGTTCGAGAGAAGTTGTAATTCCTATTTCTCATAGTGAAATTCTTCTACCGTTACCCGTGATTTTTACCCTATATTATTTAGGGGGTTTCCACGTAAATTTTATGTCTCTTTTATTTTCATTTTTGTTTTCTCAAATTATCAGTTGCGATTTTGCTCTATCTGATAGCCGTCTTTCGCAACACCTACCACTGCCAACCATCTTTACAAATTGGTTTAATACATGTTCACTCTATGTATTCATTAAGTTTTAGCCCTTTCATCATTACTTTAGTTTTTCCTTGAGTTCTGAACATAAAAAATGTTGGGCTTTCTAGTTTTTTTATTGAACATAAAGATATTATATTTTAACAACAAATACTCTTATTCTAATTCATAAATATGAAATAATATAAGCATGTTTAATCACTTAATCAAATAATGGATCATACAACACCTAAATTGAAACTGGGTAACAAGAAATTTGCAGTCCCCATCTTACCGCTCGACCATGTCGCCAAAAAGGCTACAAACAAAAAATGATTTCATCTCTTTTTTATTTTTAGATCAAATCCATGCTTTCAATTGGTTATAACATTTCAAGATACTCGATATTCAAAAAGTTTTTCCTGACCTTAAAATGATTTCATCTCTTTTTTATTTTTAGATCAAATCCATGCTTTCAATTGGTTATAACATTTCAAGATACTCGATATTCAAAAAGTTTTTCCTGACCTTTCTGAGAAGAGTTGCATCAAACATGAAATCTAATATCAATTATATTTCTTATTTTTAATTAAAACTTTTAAAAATTAAAGAAAATATAAGTTAATACAATAATAAAATTACATGTTGATCTTTAGAAAAAACTTACCATTAATATAGGACTTCCTCTAAGAAAATTTTGTCACAATGCCCTCGGTTGAGACCTTCAAAACATACTACGTCCATCTTTTAATTATATCGATTAGGGCAAAATCGTTTTAAAATCAATAATTCTTCGTAACAGATAAACATCTTATTTTCTCGTACTTTCTTTGATTTATTTACCAATTATATCTACCATAACTTGGTTAGCATGTCAGATCAAGCATGAATATAAAATACCAATTTTTAATCAAAGCGTAACCTTATATAACTATGGCTCTCAACTTTTTTCATGTAAAGGATGGACAATTCTTTAAGAAATGAACTAAAAACCGATTCAGAATTGGTTACTCAGATATTATTACTTACTATCATCTCTATATTCCTGCTTTTTTTCATCATGGTTTCCCCTCAAACTCTTCGATTTTCATCCCTTGACAATTTTGTCATCGGCACTGAAGAAAATCAGTTTCATGAGCCTGGTATTGATGAATTTGATTACTCTATGAGAGGACAATGGCTTCGAGCTGCTGTTTTGGGAGCCAACGATGGGTTGGTCTCCGTTGCATCACTAATGATGGGTGTTGGTTCAGTTAAAGAAGACGTCAAAGCTATGATTGTAGCCGGTTTTGCAGGTTTGGTTGCCGGAGCTTGGAGCATGGAGACCGGAGAGTTTGTATCAGTAAGCCTCCAAAGGTTTAGTCGTCCGTGCAGTGCTTCCGTTACTGGCTGCTGTTTTTATAAGGCTGCCTAAGGTGCGGATTGCGTAGTGGCTAGCGTGACTTTGGTGGTGTTGGGAGTTGTGGGGGCTTTGCTTGGAGGAACTCCGGTGGGGAAATCTAGTGCCAGGGTGCTTGTTTGTGGATGGATGGTGATGGCCACAACTTATGGCTTCACCAAGATGATTGGATCTGGTCATGCGATGCAAATTTGATTTGGTTTTAGAATTTAGTTGAAGCATTATCAATAACATTGCAAGCGCATTTTTCTCACTAATTAATTTGAAGTAAAATAACATAAGTGGACTTTTTCATGAAATTATGTATTTGTACTTAAAATACATAAGTGGACTTTTTCATGAAATTATGTATTTGTACTTCTCGCAATTTCTACCTTATATAATATTATTGTTTTTCCATTAGTAGAAATAGACAATATTAAATTACGCTAAATCTAGTTTTTTGCTCGTGTCTTATTTTATATTGATCTCATGTGTGGTATATATATATGAGATAATATCTTATTCACAATGTAAAACTCTTTTAATTCTGTATATATTTATGACTGTTGGATGAGTGAAAATAGATGGACGAGACTAATAGAAAATGAGAAGATATCTATTGGAAAAAATAATGAATTAATCTCAACATTTTGTTTTCACTCATCCAATGGTCCTAAATTTGTAAAACTAAAAGGTTTTACACTATGTAATTAAATTTATATAGTAATTACATAGTATAAAACTTTTTAGTTTTATACCATTTTAGAATTGTTGGATGGAAGAAATCAAAGATTGAGACTGATATTCATGGAAGAAAACCCAAGAAGTTAATCTTAAACTTTGATTTTTCTTCATCTAACGATACTAAAAAGATATAAAACTAAAAGTTTTACACTAGTCACTAGGTGTAATTGAATCCTAACCCCTCCCCCCTCTCTCTCTATATATATATAAGATCATATTAAACTCAAAATAATTTTTCAACTAGACTCGATCAAATATTAATTTCTAAAAATATAATCACTCATTTCACGTATTGACTATTGAGAGTAATCTTTAAACCGAGATGGTATTCAAATAAAGCTTCAACTGCATTCCACAACTGTCACAAGTTATACATTTTTCATACACGCTTCACATAAACAAAGTTTAATCTCAAAACGTGAAACTAACCATTAACCATCAGAAAAGAAAATCAAATTTGCATCTCATGACCGGATGCAATCAGCTTGGTGAGCCCATAAGTAGTCCCCATCGCCATCCATCCACCAACAACCACCCTCGCACTAGATTTACCCACCGGAGTTCCTCCAAGCAAAGCCCCCACCACTCCAAACACCACCAAAGCCACGCTAGCCACAGCGACCACCACCGCAATCCGCACCTTATGCTGCCTTATAAAAGCAGCAGCCAGTAACGGAAGCACCGCACCGACGGTGAAAGCCAAAGCTGACGCCAAGGCAGCTTGAACAGGATTCGGTAGTTTCTCATCTTTTCCACTCTCCAATGATCCCTTTCGCTTCTCTCTCTTCATTTGAGCTATTTCCACATCCCTCTGGGTGCATACGGATACAAACTCTCCAATCGCCATGCTACATGCTCCGGCGACCAAACCTGCAAATCCGGCTATGATCATAGCCTTGACGTCTTCTTTAACCGAGCCAACACCCATCATTAGTGATGCAACGGAGACCAACCCATCGTTGGCTCCCAAAACGGCAGCTCGGAGCCATTGTCCTCTCTTAGAGTAATCAAATTCATCAACAGCAGGCTCATGAATCTGATTTTCTTCATTGTCGATGACAACATTGTCAAGTGATGAAAGTTGAAGAGCTTGAGGAGCAGCCATGATGAAAAAAAGCAAGAATATAGAGATGATAGTACGATAAGAAGGCTTGTGGAGGACACATGCCTTTGATAAAGAGAATTTATAGAGAAAATTTTGGAATGGTGCCAATGGGTTGATGCTGAAAACGATGTCCACTAAGCTCATAGATAAAAGAGTGTGGAGGGCACACGATCCTAATATTTAATATGAGTCATGTCAATTAATTTGGTCAAGCCACTAAATATTAGGTTACCCTTTTTTCATTCCATTAAAATTGGTATTAAAAATGATTTCATATATTAGGATAAACAAAAAGATAATGATAAATGAAAAAAATAAGATAGAAAATCAAACTTTTACTAAATCAATCAATCTTTTACTTGTAATTAAATCAAAATGCACAAATGTAAACAAAATGATTAACTTTGTTATGGTGGTTGGCAATGGTAAGTCTAGTGGAACAATGGGTGGTGGATTGCTGAGTTAGAAAGCATTTTGATAAGAAGATCACCTAGAAATTACTTGTAATTACTACATCCATAGAGAAGAGTAAAGAATTATATATATAGGATTATGATTCACTTACCCGATGTAGAACTCTTGTAGTTTTATACGGATATAGTAAAAATAGATGGTTGAGATTAATTCGATTTTTTCAATGAATATTTTCTCATTTCTTCTTATTAATTTCAGTCATCTATTTTTACTCATCTAACGTTCTTAAATCTATATAAAATTAAAAAAAATTACATTGCGTAAGTGAATCATAACCATTTATATATAAATATAAAGAAAATGCAATCTCCACGCGAAAGTGGGAAAAGAGATTCATCCCCCAACGTAGCATATATTTGAAGTGTGCACTCCACACGACACCTCTTTATCGGCTAAAATAACTAAACAAAAGCTTGATTTCCATCCGCCCTTTAAGACCCATTTCTACACTCTCCACTAAGTTTGATTCCATTTTTTTTGTGTTGGGGGGGGGGGTGCTTAAGTCCCAACGTAGCTGTTTTTATTGATTTTTAATTGAAACTTTGGCTTTTCATTTGTAAAGTATCTGATGCTGTTTCCTTTTGGATTGCTTTAATGGAATACTAAGATACACCAAAGCCATTTGAGAGAGTTGTAGATACACCAAGTCTTAAAGTGTAATTTGAATATTGAAATCATTGTGGACTCGTTTGTAAATGTAGATAAATTCTAATTACATGAGATTCCAGGTGAACGTATATATTAATAACAAAAAAATTCGTATGATGTGGACACAAATAAAATTTGAGGGTGGACATCATCAATAAAATAAAGGGTAAAGCATACAAAAATTCTCGACTATAGGATACTGTTTTGTTGAGTCCTCTGACTATTAAAAGTTACAAAATGGCCCCTCAACTATAGGAGTTGCTTTGTTGAGTCTCTCGACTATTAAAAGTTACAAAATGATTACTCAACTATTCATTATGTTACAAATTCATCATTTTCATTAAAAAAATTAATTATCGTTTCAACTATTAATTTATTCATCAATGATACTAAATTATTGTACAACGTTTACTTTGTTTTGTCCAATGGTACCTTCTTTTATACAATATTTAAGTAATTTAAATTTAAAAATATTTTTTTAAATTTTTAAACTGAATAACTATAGAAGTTTAAGTGCATTTGAAGTTTTAAACTCACTCCTCTTAGATAACTCCTCTTGATATTATAATTACAATCAAACTAATTGAACTAAGATTCAATTGGAAAATAATAAATAAATAAATTTCAAAACTATAAAAAAAATGAAGAAAAAAAACTAGAAAAACGAATAAGAACTATATTGAAATTTAATCCTTCTCAATATAGTTAAAGTGTTCATAGCCCCTACTAAAAAGTTAACTTTTGGATAATAAATTACAGTACAACATTTACCTAATTGAATGTACATGTTAAAGTTCTCTTATTATTAAATAAGGGAAAATTTTAAAAATAAAATAATTTTTACAACACACTTGGTTAAATTAAATTTAACAACACAATATAACGATAATTTAGAAAAATATTTTTTATTTATATCTTAATTCTTTAACCAAACATTATAATTTTACGTCTTTGTCAAACAAATCAAACAATATAATATAAATTTTTTAATAATGTATCCGATAATATTATATTTCGATAATCTTATTCTTAAAAATAATATTAATAATTTTTTATTACGTAAATCAAACTCATCCTAAAAATTAACTAAAGCTCTATAATGTTACAAATAAAGAACTATTATTTTCTTCATTAATGATAGCAAATTATGGTACAACGTTTACTTTGTTTTGGCCAATGGTACGATGCTTATCTATTTGAATGTGCTTATTTTTTATACAATCATTAAATTAAAAAATCATTTTTTTAAAATTTTAAACCGAAGAATTATTTATGTTTAAGCGCATTTGAACTCATGTCTTATTGGATATTACAATAACAATAATACCGATTAAATTAAGACTCGATTAGAAAATAATAAATAAATAAATAAATTTCAAAACTATTAAAAACTGAAAAATTAACTATAAATAATCCTTTTCAATACAATTAAATTGTTCATAGCCCCTACTAAAGAGTAACTTTTGGGTAATAAATTAAAGTACACCATTTTCCTAATTGAATGTACTTAATTTTTTTTTTTGGTCAGCATGAAATTAGTAGATATTACCAAAGGTTATTTAAGTTCTCTTATTATTACCAACAACCGGTCGATCACTTGATCTAATGAGATAAGACGAAAGATCCTTTAAGCAAGAATAGAAGTTCGAATCTTGACGTTTGAGAATAGAGCAAACTGGATTGCGAAGGTCGCCCTTGCCTTTTCAGTACATGATTCGGATTAGTTAATAAAAAAAATTGGAAACCGTTGTTATACAAAAAAAATTCTCCTATTATTAAATAAGTGAAAATTTAAAATTAAAATAATTTTACAACACACTTTGTTAAATTAAATTTAACGACACAATATTAAGCTAATAATAAGCTTGGCAAATTTTATATTAAATCATTTTTTATTTTTAAACATATTATTTCAAAATTAAAAATGTTAAAACTGATAAATGATATTTTTGCGTGAAATGTAAAACAAATATAAAGCATACAGTTATTCTATTTTATTTGTTCAACATAAGGAAGCAAATAAAATAAAAGGAAATAATTAAAAGGTTTAAAGCATGAATTAGTCCCTAAATTATATCACTTTCCCACATCAATCTCTTACTTATTTTGACCCAGATCAAGACCTAAGGTTATTATTTTTTCCATATTAGTCCTTACCGCTGCCAATGTTGTTAAAAATGGACATGTGGTGCTTATTAGAATGCACCACGACACCTCTAATTAAAAGTACGAACCAAGCGACCTAGATGGTAAATAAATTGTTGTTATTCCTTGAGTCATCGATTCGAGCACCATGAATGGTGGGGTGTGAGCGTTCAATGTTAATGGTTGAGAGTTATCTTTAAACAGACACAGTCTGTAACATCACAAACTATGGGTTAGTGACCAAATTGTAAAATTTCAAAATTTAGTGATTAAAGTAGAATTTATTGAAAAGTTTAGGGGCTTATATGGAAATTTTGGTGTCTGATTAAATTACAATAAGGATGATTGGAAGGTCAAAATAGTCATTTGACCTAGAAATGAATTAAAAATGTGATAAGATAAGGATAAATACACGTGAATATTAGGGGAAGGAAAACAAAGTTTCCAGAGAATTCTCTATTCTTCTTCTCCTTCAGCCGTGAGCTACCATAGCAAATGTGAGTTTTCTGGTTAGTTGATTATTTGTTGATTTTAAGTGTGAGTTTTGATCCTTAGGTGACACTTAAGCTTAAGGAAAGCTTAAGTTGTCTTAAAATCAAAATATGAAGAAGATATGAAAGATTAAAGAGAAGGGGTATCTAAATGAAATTCTGAAAAAGAGTTAATAAAGGAACTTTGAGATGAAATTTGACTTCTCATCAATAAGAATAAGAGATTTATGAAGTCAGAAATGATTAATAACAAAGTTGAAAGTTTAGTAAGATTCTTAATTTTAAGAATCATGATGAGATATGGAAGATAAAGATGGTTTATATGGATATAAGTTTATTTAAGTAATGGTAGTTGAGTTTAATGGCATGATAGATGCTTAAAATGGAAGGTTTAGATTAGTATTGATGAATTTTCGGGTTTAAACATTAAATTCTAGACTATGGGTATAGATACTGCTTCATCAGGTACCGATACTTCAAGGGTAAAAGATTAAAATATGGCATAGGGTATCCATACCTGGTAGGTAGTATCGATACATGGGGTACCGATACCATAAGGGAGGTATCGATACCAAAAAACTTCGAATGCAATTTGGGTATTGATACCTTAAAACTTCGAATGCAATTTGGGTATCGATACCCAAGCTTGGTATCGATACCATAACTATAGAGGTACCAATACCCTATGTAGGGGTATCGATACTACCTTAAGAGAAAATGAAATTGAGCTTTTCTTTTAGTCTAAGAAATAAAGGATTGAATCATAATAATTGGAATGCTGATATGGATATTATATGTATGATTGTATAGATATCAAGCACAAGCAAGTTCAGGAACCACCACAAAGTTAGAATCGATCCAAAGAGAGAATCATAGAAGTGGATTTAGAAATTAAGTGAGGCTAAGGTGAGTGCATACTATAAGTATAGTTCAATGGAATAAGACTTGTGATAAGTCTATTTCTGTTGAGCTAATCGATTGATAGAATCGGTCAAGAGGGGGGTGAATTGGCAATTAAAAATTTGGTGGAAGCTTTTGCAGAAAATTGAAAGTATTTGCACAGCGATTTAGAGTGGTTCGACTTTCTCAACCAAAGACTACTTCCACTACCTTAGCTATCCACACTAAGGATTTTCCACAAATTCACTCATTTGTCTTTCTTTTAAGGACAAAGAGTAACCTTACAAACCCTAAAGAATTATACCCCAAATTCTTGAGAACACTCTCTCCCAAAGAGAACAATACAAATTTGCAAACTTACAAGGAAATCCTCACAAGGTAGATTGTTTG